TTGTAGCAAGAGTGTTCACCCAAGACTCCAAAGGTTAATAAGAAGACAATTAAAAATGGATCCCTTGCTAGAGAACTCTAAACACCTTGGTCTGCACCTTTTTTGGTCTAGGAATAAACATGCTCAACTATCTTTTATCCTAAATAATATAAAAGCAAAATTAAATAGTTGGAGAGCAACAACCATCAATTAGGCAGGAAAGCAAGTGTTAGTCCAATCGGTTCTCCAAGCCATTCCTATACATGCTATGTCCCCAATCAAATTTCCAAAAAAACAAAAAAAAACTATTGACCAAATGGAAATCTTAATAACAAAATTCTGGTCGGGAGTCTCTAAAGAAAGAACCCATCCCTACCGATGGTGTGCTTGGAATAAATTGATCATTCCAAAATATTTAGGAGGCTTGGGATTCAAAAATCTAACCCTGGTTAATCAAAGCCTCCTTAAGAAAGTCACCTAGAAATTCCTTATTGAACAACATAAACTTTGGGCACAAATATGGAAATCAAAATATTTTAAAGATAAAAATCTTTTTCCTTATTCTATTCTCTTTATAGGGTCTATCCTTTGGAAATCCATAGGTTCAACGCTTATTGACTTGGGCTTCTGAATGTGGAGCTCTAGTAAATGAGAACTCATTTCCAATAGAACAATTACCTGGATCCAAAAAAATCATAAATTTTCTTAGATTCCATTCCCCTTGGCCCTTAATCTTAGACAGGTAAATATCTCCCAATTAATCCACAATGGCCACTAGAATGTCGAAATCATAAACTCTTTATTTTCTTCGACTGAGGCTAATCAAATTTTGGAGACCCCCATTTTTTCTGAATTCTAATTCTATTACATGGATCTGATTATCCCCTATCTCTGGTAAATTTACCACAAAAAGAGAATACATGTGTAAACTCAATTCCTCATACTCTCAACTCCCTTCAAATCTCAGTTTCTGTACCAAAAAGCTTTGGAAGTTGTATACCGCCCCTAGATTTAAACTTTTCCTCTGGAGAATTTTAAATAATTTTGTTCTTGTAAAAGAGAATATCTGTTTAGAAAATAATCAAAAATTCTGTGTTATTTGTGAGATAGAATTTGAAACTATAGCCCATTTATTTTTAAACTTTCCTTATACTCAAGCTATATTATTTGGCAACCCTTAGAATATAAATTTTTTAAATATCTTCCGAGATTCTTGGGCTACTAATATTCATAATCTCTATACTCGTGTGGATGATAACTCTTTGTTTATGGATATACTAAACTGGCTTGCTATTGCATTATATTATATTTAGTATGATAGGAATGAGAAATGCTTTAGGGATAGAGTGATTCAACCTATTAATCTACTTCATCAAATTAATCACTCAATCATAACCTCTAATTCCCCTCAAAACAACTCTAATTCCTCAACATTAAGAAATATTATGGATAAATATCCTATTACTATCAGTGCTACAACGGATCTTATTATTTTCTCTGATGCAGGAAAAATCTCTGACAACTTATATAGTTATGGATTCATAATTCTATCCAGAAATCTAACTTGTTTAAAAATCTTGGGTGGCAGAACTGATCAAGTATCTTCTGTTGTACAAACTGAACTTTATGCGATCATGCAGGTGCTGTTAGAACTGTCCAACTAGTATTGCCAAGAAGTTTGTATATATTCTGATGCTAAACTGGTTGTGCAGGCGCTTCATCAGAAATAAGATCTTCCCTGGTCTTGCCTTTGGCTTTTGCAAAGGATTAGGAATTTATTTGTGAAACTTAAAAATGTGAAATTCTTTTTTGTATATCGAAACTTTAATAAACCTACCCATACGGTATCCCAAGTAGCAAAAACTCACTGTTTATCCTCTTTTATTTGTAATTACAATCAAGATGGGATACCAAGGGTAGAGGACTATGTATATGTTTGTTCTCCTTAATATAACTTGCACCTTTCAAAAAAAAGATGTATGGATATTTCGATCCTTAGTATGCAATTATAAAACTAGCAGAATATTCATCTTAGGGAAAATAGAAGAGATAAAAGAATAAGTAATGGTAGAAAGTTGTTTTTCTATTTGTGTTGATATCCCAAGTAGAGCAAAAGTTTTATAGATAAAGCCACTGTTTTTCTATGATATTCCAATGAGATAACAAATTAATTAGGCAAACAAAGATGAATGTGGCAAGAACTTGACAGTATAACTAAACAAACCAATTCAAAGTAAATCTCAAAAATGGTTGTAATTCTAAATTCAGAAGTCGAAAAATATCTTTCTTAAACTCTTTCTTATTCTATTAGATATTGAAGCTCCATTTGGGAAGAATGCAAATACAAATGTGTATGAACTGTGCATATTTGTATTTGCATTCTTCCCAAATGGAGTTTGAACAATCTCTACTCATTAAGCAAATTGGCCCAAATATACTTACCACCTAATTGTTATGAGTTTTTCTTTCTTTCTTTCTATCTTTCTTTCTTTCTTTTAGCAAGTTTTATATTGATAAAATAGAACTTTAAAAGCAAATGTTTGTTGGGAACACCATATTTACAAGAGGTTATATTAATAACATTGATTGAAGATTTAGACACTGGCTACCAGTGAAAAGCACCAAGTTGCCAGAGCAAAACAAAGCCTTATAAAGACGATTCAGCATCATGGTTTTCTTACAGTTATTAATATCAAATCCTAGATTCAATCTCAAACTACTTGGGTGCCACTTTTGCATAGATGAAATTTATGAGCAAACAACAAATGTAGAAGTTGAAAATAGAAATTATCTACCAATTTGGAGAAAACTAATTGTCATTATCTTTGCTTTATCATGTAAGTTTTTAGTTGTCCTTAATTTCATGAACTAAAAATTATATATTTTCTTCCCTTAGATGGTATTTGGTACTATGTAACATTTTAATCAGCCCATCCAAAAATGGTTTTGGTAGAATAAAAAAAAAATGGTGCTTATTGGAGTTTAAGTGAGAATGTGACACCACAGTTACAAACACCCCCTTACTTGCACACTAGTAATGGGATTCTGGATCCAAAAAGATTATATATCGCAATGCCAAAAGATGATGGAAAATATTTATACTTAATGGTGAGAGCAAGGTTTTTAAAAATGATCCGGAAACAGAACCGGTCAGGGGACCAGTTTCCGGTTAAGCGGTTCAACCGTCTGGGTCAAACGGTTTGACCCGTGACATCATAAAAAAAATTAAAAATAAAAAATTTATTTATAAATAATAAAAATAGTATAAAAAGCAGAAAAAATACAGAAAAATACAAAAAATAAAACTATCTAAATACAAAAATAATATAGTACAAATGAGAATATGCAAATGAAAAATAATTGAGAAATAGTGACTTCTCATTGGTTAGAAGAATTGGTTAATTCTTCAAGGTCCAGGGATCGACCACCATCGCCAGCGAAAGTTTCGGATGCACTTGAAGAACAATTGACGCCATCGTCCGCTCCTACAATCTGACCATTGGAGCTAACACCATCCACCACAGTGGTAGCCTGATCATCAGCAATAATGGCATCCACCATCTCTTGCAAGGCAATAGCCTTCCTGATAACCTTCTTCTGGCACTCCCTAACCCCAGAATCAATGCCTCGAACTGAATCTAGCCAAAAAACCAAAGCCATTAGAGTCTCATTCACTCTCAACTGCTCCTTCGCATCCATATTGATGGAGGCTCATCTCTTCAAGGAGGCCCATCTCATCATATGGACGACAACTCATAGGAAGAATTCAAGATAAGCCAAAGTACTCAGAATCCAAGATAATTCAAGAGTCCAAGATACATCAAGAATTCAAGAGTCCAAGATACATCAAGAATTCAAGATAAATCAAGAATTCAAGAATCCAAGATCATCCAAGAAACCAAGAGTTCAAGATAATCCAAGATTCATACCAAGATTAGGATAACTCATGCATGGATAAGATCCAGGGAGATCGGACAGTGGAGATCAAGTCAAGAAGAATCCTAGCAGATTAGATGTTTTGATATCTATCCTATTTGGAGAGCAATCGAAGAGCAGCGCACGGCCACACGTAACTTCGAACAGCAGTTGGCAAAGATGGCTGAACAACTACGAATCTTATTACGAAAGGTTGTTCCAAGGAACCGGGATAACCCGTACCCAACCGGAGGAGACAACCACGGTAGACCACTCATCGGTCCTATACCCCGGAATCCTGTTCTTGATGATGATAACGACGACGAAGTAGAACTCGGCGTTGCTCCAGTTATTGCCGGTAACAGTCTGTACCACGTTCCTCTTGATAGTGCAACATCATTTCTGGGTTCAAGTCGTGGTTACGTCAGACATCCACCGCAAGGATTCTACCTTCAATTCCTGGCAATTTGTCGGCTTCGACCCGGTTGGCCTTTGAGCCTATTTCCGATCGAACAACGCATCGTTCTATTCGGCCCTCAAATGGGAAACAACCATCGAAGAAAGCTCATCCTTCATCGGCTTTTTCAGAAGATGCGCGGGGAAAAGAGAATCAGTCCTGCACTAATTCATCAAAGAACAACAGGCAATCCCCAAAAGATAGAGACACAAAAATCAGAACCCCAGTGAAGAGGCCCCCCATTGAGAATGGATCAGTAGAGAAGCGTTTGGATCCTCTGAAACTACAGTTAGAATGTGGAGCCATAGAACAAGACACAGAAGAACAAAGCGCATCAGTTGTTCCTGAAGAAACAACACCAAAAGGAGAGAGTAACGGTCCTAACAAAATCTCAGAAGAAATTTTGAAGTGCCTGTCAAGCATTTTCCTGAGGATGAGGAGGATGAAGAACAGGGGAATGGAACTCGAAATGTTGTCTTCCTTAACATCTAATGAAACATATGCAGAACCAGAGTTCAGAGATCCTTATGGTATTTGTTCAGAATTTGGAAAGAGGGATATTGGTCCATACAAACACCTGTTTGTAATCGAAGCTAGTTCAATTGATCCAAATCGAAGAACAAACTCTTTGTTTCTGATTCGGAGATTGAAGCCGCTTCTTGGGAAGCTTGCATCTGTCAACCTAGATGGTCTTACTCATCAGTAGAAGCTTGCATTCTGGATCAACATCTATAATTCACGCATGATGAATGCGTTCCTAGAGGTTGGGATACCGGAGAGCCCCCATATGATCGTTGCAATGATGCGGAAGGCAACAATAAATGTAGGTGGCCACTTGTTGAATGCAATGACAACTAAGCATTTCATCCTAAAGCTACCTTATCACTCAAAATATACCTATGCAAAAGGTCCAAAAAATGATGAGATTCACCAGTGTATTCAGCAACAGAATAAGACCGCTGCTACCTACTCTTACGCTGAGTCAGAACCGATCGGTCTGACTCAAGTGAAGATTGGGGAAGAGTATGAGATCATCGTCACCAACTTTGCAGGTCTATACCGATACAGGCTAGGGGACGTGGTTAAAGTGATGGGATTCCATAACTCCACCCCGGAGCTTCCATTTGTATGCCGGAGGAATTTGCTACTAAGCATCAAAATAGACAAGAACACAGAGAAAGATTTGCAGCTAGCAGTTGAAGCAGGTGGGAAGCTGTTAATGAAGAAGGCAAAGGTTGAGGTGATCGACTTCACCAGCCATGTGGATGTGTCCATGGACCCTGGACACTACGTCATCTTCTGGGAGCTGAGCAGTGAGGCCAGCGATGAAGTGCTGAATGAGTGTTGCGATTGTTTGGATCGATCTTTCGTTGATGCAGGATATGTTAGTTCCCGAAAGGTGAATGCGATTGGAGCGCTTGAGCTCCGTGTGGTAAGGAGGGGAACCTTCCAGAAAATTCTGGATCATTACTTGGGGCCGACGTCAAAAACACTCATGTGTGGTCTAAGGCCGTATCAGAAACAAGCCCTTTATTGGATGACAGAATCAGGGAAGGGAATTGATGGTGAGCAAGCGGCCAAAACACTTCATCCATGTTGGTCAGCCTACCGTATATGTGATAAGAGAGCATTTGCAATCTATGTTAACAATTTCTCAGGGGAAGCTACTACACAAATTCCCAATGCTTTAATACTTGCTGACCTTTATCGCTACCTACCAGAGACGACCCTCGCATATCCTAGCCACGACTCGGGGTCAAGTCTTTTCCAAGTGGGGGAGAATGATGGAGGCCTATCTCATCAAGGAGGCCCATCTCATCATATGGACGACAACTCATAGGAAGAATTCAAGATAAGCCAAAGTACTCAAAGAATCCAAGATAATTCAAGAGTCCAAGATACAACAAGAATTCAAGAGTCCAAGATACATCAAGAATTCAAGATAAATCAAGAATTCAAGAATCCAAAATCATCCAAGAAACAAAGAGTTCAAGATAATCCAAGATGCATACCAAGATCAGGATAACTCATGCATGGATAAGATCCAAGGGGATCGGACGGTGGAGATCAAGTCAAGAAGAATCCTAGCAGATTAGATGTTTTGATATCTATCCTATTTGTTATTTCCTAGTTCTTTTACAATTTCCAAATGTATTATAAATACTGCTATTTTCCCAAAGTTATTCATCAATTCATACTTTAGATTTTCTTGAGTTCTCTTCTTTGAGTTTTCGCCACCTTTTCTCTCTCCTAGAGAAATCGGTGTTATTCGCTAGGTGCTAGCGAACGCCCAGTGCTTGCATAGCCAGCTCCGGTTCTCATTGCTTCCACGCTGCGTCACATAGGAACCAAATCCATCGTCGCCCTCCTTGAAATCCGCTGTTCAACTTCATCTACCTCTTTCTTAATATCAGAAATTTTCTTCACGCTCTTTCTAACCAAGAATCCCTAGTAACAACTCTAAATCTTCAAAGCAGCAGCCAGTCGTTTCTCCTCCGATACGAAGTGAATCGGAATAGAGATGACGTTTGTAGACGGGGACTTCATGTGATGCCGAACAGGGATGATGTGGGGATTCAGCGAGTAGTAGCGAGGGTGAGTTCTTTTTCTTTCTAACCCTAACGTAAGGCTGGAATTAGGGGACTAGGGACATGAATAGCATTTTTTTAAATCGAGCGAAAATGAATTTCACTACCCACGAACTGCTACCCATGTCAAACGGTTTAGCGGTTTGACTGCCCGAGTCAGTATAACCAAACCTGAGGGGCTGAACGGTTACCGGTTTTTCTAGTCCGACCATCTGGTTTGGTCCGGTTTTAAAAACCGTGGGTGAGAGTTAATATCCATCAAGTGCATCTTATTGAGAGCCCTCATAATTCTTCCACCTATCTGACTCTCATAAAATTGGGAATGTTGCTTCAACAATCACATAAAACAAACAACCTATGTGGTGTTTGACAACATGGTTGATTTTATTTTTGAAAACAAAAACAATTACCACGTCAACAAGATTTTATTGTTTTTGCTAATGTTTCATTTGTTTTTGTTTAAAAAAAAAACAAAAAATTATATTCTTGAACATCCCTAGTTTTTTTCTTTGCTTTTGCTATTTAACTATCTACAACAAGACGTCATGTTTTGCCTTTAGCATATGACCAAAATTTGTTTTTCTTATCTTATTTTGGTTTGGAGGTTCAAGATACACAATAGTTTGTTTGCTACTTAACTATCTAAGCACATATTTGCATATTATTAGATTGGAGCAAATCAATATTTTGATACAATTATAAATAAATCTCCACAATTAGATCACATTCAAATCCAATTCAAACAAATAGATACTTTTTTCCCGCTTCATTGAGTTACACAATGAATCATCATCATTATCATCCAAGCTTTTTCTCAACTATATATGGAGTTAATACTTGAATGTTGTTTTGCTGTTCTTTTATCTAAAAGACTTATCAATTGTGGAACACAATGCAGAATTAAACAGATCTGAATGACAAAACATCAGTGATGTGGTCGATTCCATATAATTGGGATAAAGCATGGATGCATGATGATGATGATGATGATGATGTGACTATACAAAAGGGAAAGGGAGGGGAGTAGCCCAACCCCTACCTATAACTAGGGATGGCAATTTTCTCCATCCCAGATGGGCATTTGACTTCCCCAACCTGATGGGGTCAGGGATGGGGATTGAGGTCCTTGCCCTGCTCCGACCCTGATTATATATATATATATATATATAATTATATTATTTCTATATATCGAAACATATTTAAAATATTATTCATAATTTAATTTTTATTTATTTAAATAAATTTATTTATAAAAAAATACTGTTATCTAAAAAATTTTGGGGATTCGGGTCTCGCGAGAACCCATCCCCATCGGGGATTGGGGATGGAGGACAAATTTTATCCCCGACAGGGATCAAGGACATGGATGAGGATTAATTTTAGAATCGAGGTTGGAAACGAGGAATTTGATCCCCGCCCGCTTGCCATTCATACCTATAACACCAACCCTAGTGATAGTAGGATTTGATCCTAAGTCTCGGCTACATACAACCACCCATTTTGTAGCCTTAATTTAAGGGAAAAGCAACTAGAGAGTACCATAAAAGTATGAACTAGAAGAGACCCATGCAAAGCTTGAGTTGGTGTTTGGATGCCAATATTCCATAGGTAAGGATGCAAAGTGGGTGGGTTCAGGTTGGGATTTTGTAAAAATTTGAATGGGCCAGCCTTGGGCCAATACAATGTAAATTCATTAGACATCCATAATTGCTCCCCCTATCCACAGCAGTGGATTCATTCAATTTTTTTTAATAAAATATCTTCATGTTTATTTTTTGTTTTTTTTTTTTAATTCAAAAACCCACAAAATTTCTAGGGGGTTTGAGAGCAGTGGTGCAAGTTGGGCCGGGTTAGGTCGGGTTGAGGTTAACCCTAATCCAACTTGAGTTGTTGAACCCCGACCTTATCTCTCACCCAATCATAAAGGTTAGGCTCCAATTAGTCTTGGGTTGGCCTGATTTCTCTACTTCATTTTGCCAAATGTACTTACTTCCTAGCTAATTATAATTGTTCATTTTAAATCAATATTAGCATTATGTGTAAAAGAACATGATTATCATGTTTTAGAAAAAAAATTGCCTTTAAACTTAATTAACATATAATACACACACATAGGGGGTGTAAATGGATCGAATTCGAATCCAATTAGAAAATTCAATATCCGAATTTGATTCGATATTTGATAGATATTAAAAATTAATATCTGAATTTGAATTGGATTAAATATTCGATTCGATTTGGATTCAGCCAATTAGTTATTTTAGGTAATTAATAAATATATAAATAAATATTTTATTTATATAAAGTATATAGATATATAAATTATTTATATAATTTAATTATTATGTATAAATTATATAAAACATTTAAATATTTTATGTATTATATATAAGAATTAAATAATCGGTCGATTTCGGATATTTATCGAATCAAATCAAGTCATATCCAAATTTGTATCCAATTAGCTAAATGGTATGAATAGTATATCCAAGTTCGACAAAATTATGATTTTCGAATTATTTGAATTTGATTCAATTATGTTGAATCTCGAATTCAAAATCGGATTTTTGAATACCACTGACAACCCTGTATATATACATGCATAAATCGGATTTTTGAATAACACTTACAATGAAACAATACATAAATTATAAATATATAGATATATAATATACATTTATGAATGCATGGTTGAATACATAAGTACATTTATGAACAATACATAAATTACAATGAACGCATGAATAGTAATTGCATAAATACATAAATGCATAAATTACATGAGTACATTTATGAACGCAAGCAAATATGAAGTTAAGTTGGGGTTTTTGTTGGATTGGGTTGGTCAAGGCCTCAACTCTAATCCAACACAAAGTTAAGTTGGTTCATGCTTTCAACCCAAACCCTATCCTAACCAAGGCTTCAAATTTTGATATGATATGTTCGATACAAGGCATATCATATCATATCTCTAAAAGTTCGATATGAGATATGGTGGAAAATCGGTTGTATCGTCTTTTTTCCACCGTATCAAATTCATATCAGGCTCTATTTAGGGTGTATTGGGGCGTATCAATTGCATATTTCGTTTGAAATAAGCCTTTCTTTCACCCCCAAATGACTCTAAAACTCCAAAACTCATTCTTAAGGTGTTAGATATGCAAAAATTTGCAAGAAACAAAGCGTACATCGTTAATTTTTTTTGGTGGTTTCTAAAATTTTGAAAAATTATGGTAAAAGTAGGTAAGTTTTTTCAAAATTTTTTAATATCTTGTGATTTTTTTCTTGAATGTTTAAATTTATGTTGATATACATTTCTTACATTCAAAATCACATTTCTTTTGTGTTGTGAATAGCTCTATGAAAATTTCATAAAAATATTTGGGAAAAATATAAATTAACAAAAAATTTGAAAATGTAATTTTTTCTCTGCTTATAAAGAATTAGTATGTTTTAGATCTATAGATTTATCTATCATATCCATAGAGCAATTGGAATTTCTTCTTTCTTCTTTTGTTTTTTATATTTTTAGAATTAAAAATAAATAATAATTAATTATATTTTACCATTTGACCACAATGATTGAATATATTATAATTGTATGATATCATATCCACGGAGCATTTGAAATTTCTTTTTTAATAACTATTTTTTGAATATATTATATAATGTTTATTTATTTTTTACAAATTTTGAAAATAAAAGTAAATAATTATTATTTATATTTTCACTTAGAAGTTGTACCAATGCATATTTTATGGTTGGATAGATGAGTTGGGTTTTCCCATCCCAATTATAATTTTATAAATTATAGTTAAGTATAGGTTTTTTAATGAACGTATAATTAACTACAATGTATTTTTTTATAAACCATTAAAGTATATTAATTTAAAAAATATATATGTATATATCTCATTGATGTCTTATATTTAATATTATTGATGTATTTTTATGATTTATTAAAGTATTTATAGTGTTTCAATGCATATCTTAATTTTTCGTCAATACAAATGCATATCTAAGATGTATCCTAATACGTCTGTTTAAATTGCTGTTTCTATACACTTAGTGTCCACGATATTTTGAATCTTGATCCTAAACTTGAAGCCAATCCAAGCCAACCTTACTCTTTATTTTTTCCAAATTGGATTTGGATTCGGGCTAACCTGATGCAAGTTGCAGTCCAATTTGGGCCCATTCGTTTTACCTTTTTACCCCTCTAAAAAGTAAATACCGGCAAATGAACGACGCCTTGAGAAAGAAGCTGACGTAAGCAATTGAGTTTTAACTATTAAAGTTGATAGAATAGATTCGTGCTCACAACACAACTCACAAGCATTCCTCCGTTGCTAAACTTAAAAGAAATGAAAGACTGTTTGCCTTGGTTGAGAGGGAATATTACATCTTACTCTTCGAGGTTTTGCCTTAGTTGAGAGGGAATATTACATCTTACTCTTCGGCTACTCGTTTTTGTGTAGTTAGTTCCTTGGCTGAAGGGTTGAGATTGACCAAAAATATGAAAAAAAAATCAAAGGGGAAGACAGGGTTAGGCAACTAAACATTTCTAACCAATAGAATTTTGACACGTGGATAATTAGCGTTGCAGCGTTCCATCGGAAGTACTCTGTCGAATATTCTCGTACAGGTAATAAAGAAAGGGACTTCCCAATGCATAATAGCCGTCGGATTCGAATCTCACTGAAAACCTCCCTCTTCTGCTGATACTCTTTTTCCTCTTGAATGGCGACACTGAATGAACCTTCGTTTGAAAAACTTGAAAGGGAAGAAATCCCTCACGTTATCTCTTCCTTCTGAACTCTGCCCTAATTCAATAATCATTTTGCATGATTCAGCTTTTTTAGCAATCTTATATCAATTCGATCGGTGTTTCTTCAGATTTGATATTTTTTTGGTTCCGGAAAAAGGTACAACAACCAACTAATCGGCATTTCTTCAGTGTATTTTCTTTGTCCCTCTGTTAGACATTCTCGAATTCCTGCTTCGGGTATACTTGTTTTATGTTTAGCTTTCGAGTTGGGATATGTTCTTTTTCAATCACAAATCTGTAATTCTCCAGGAAGTTGATAATTTAAATTTATATTATTGATTGAGAACTCGCTAACTCCGAGTAAATTTGACCTTTTGGTTGTATTCAGTCTTCTCTTGGGTCATTATTTCGCTAATCCTCGTTTTTCTTTTGTTTTTCTTCTTTCTTTTCATCTATGAATTGGCTGTTTTACAGACTGTGGTGAATTTATGCTTTTCTATTATTGCTGCAACACGGATTGTTATGAACTTCTATGATATGTTCCCATGAGCTCGTCAAGCAATAGGATTTAATTAAATGAGGCTCCATTTTGTTATAGCTGTTATTGCTGATGCTGTTATCATTATCATCGTCATATCAGTAAACAAGTATACTTGAAAATAACAATTGTTTTAGAAATAAAATGTTCATATATTGAAGTAAAATCTCAGAGAGTTTAATATCTGAATTCATTATGGTAAATTCTTTAATTATTGTATATTTAACAGAGACATAATATGCATCGTCTGTGATTATATATATTTTTCCTGCTCTATACTTATTGGCATCATTCTTAACCCAAAGTCAAAATGTCATGTGAAATATTTCATCTAGGGATGATCATGGGCCAGGCCAGGCCGCGTTTTTATAGGGTATCAACAGTATTAAGGCCTGCCTTGGCCTGGCCTGGCCTGGCCAGCCCCCTGGGCCTGGTCCAGGTAGTGTTGGGCTGGACATCTGGGCTGGCCCATATAAATTAAAATTAAAATTTTAATTTAACTTTATGTTCATAGTTACAGAAAAAACATATTAAAAAGTTATTGTGTATACAATAATATACAATACCATATATACATGCCATACATACTACATTTATATAGATAATTTTTTTTGACGCCTTATGTAGATGTATATAGATATTATATACAATAATTTCTGGGCAGGGCTGTGCCAGTAGGGCCTAAGGCTTGCTTGGCCTGGGCCCAGCCTACATTGTGTGCAGGCTTGATGTGGGTCTAGGCAGGGCCAACTTGATAGAAACATGGCTTCCCGGGCCTGGAAATTTACGGGCCGGGCCAGGCTGGATCATAAATGATAATCCCTAATTCCGTCCCAGTGAAATTGGAACATCAAATACCTTAAACATCTTTGCCCTGACCGAGCCAATCAGCCAAATGAGTTAATGAAATTTAGTTCTCTCTGCCAGATGAAAACTCCACAAATAATAGTGTTTTTTTTCATGATCTCATAGAGTGAAAATATCAAAGCAGAACCCTGGCCCTTCTGTTGAACCAAAGAGGATTCAGGGAATTGGTTTTCAAGTTTTCGTGAAAAGGTGGTCTAGATTAAAGACTATTTTGTGCTTGAGCATCAGAATCCATGAAAATTTCAAAATTGTCTGTTAGACTTTTATCTTTGTGGTCTCTCCCCAACCAACTTGGCTACTTTTGACCATGGTTTGCAATATTGGCGATATTTGGTGAAATATCCTTGATATCCCAATTTGCTAGGTGGCCATACAAAATCTTCCGGGAATCTCTTTTTTTCCAAATATCCCCAATAACTTTCTGATACTTAAAGGCACAAGTTAAAATGGCAAGCAATTGACATATATAAAGAAGAGAAGATGGCTAAAGACCAAAAGGGAAAGGAGAAGCATACCTATTACAATTGATTAACTTTTCCCTATTTGATTTATACAATTTTTGTTATGGTTTTTTGAACCTTAAATGTGCAACTATATCTCTTCTAATGATCTCTTGAAGGCTTATTAACTAGTTTAATGTTTCTAGAAAACTTTCCTGATTTTTTAGATTTTCCAAATATCTTAGTGAAATTAGTGAGATATCTCCGAAATTTCTCCAACTCTACATGGTGAAATGTTCATTGATATCAACATTACAAACCATGCTTTTAACACTTAACCTTTAATCCAGGTTTGAAAGGAGCTTTTCCAATAAAATTGATCTTTTGGATTGAGAAGCATGACATCAGTCGAAGTATGGATACATATTGTATCATGTTGGACCTATCGTTTATCAGGGTCACCAGTTCAATGGTTAATACTCTTTTCAGATATAGCTTGATTCAAAGCTTTAAACTTGAAACAATTTTAATTCATGAGTATTACCTTGGTCCTTTGAATAGTGCAATACACAATTTTTGTGTATAGTGTGTGCTGATACTTTTAACCAAGAAATATGAATTAGTACAAAAGATCCACCAAGTTGTGGACTTTCTGGCCAACATGGCCTTTTTTTGCTTTTACCTTGGGACCATACCCCATGCTAACTTATTTCTCTTTGAAGCCATTTCTTTCATTTTCATCATATTATTCATTATACAGTGGAAATAAAATTACAAAAATGTTATGAGTATCTATAGTTTTCTGATGAAGTTACAGAATGGAGTACTATCATATGCACTGGTTTAATGGTGTCAAAATGCACTAATTTTTGTCATGGTAAAGTGAGTTTGGCAGAGAATGTCAAGATAATTTTCTGAAGATGCTATTTCTTGTTAAAGTGGAATTTCCAAAATAAAAATGTTTTTTTTTAATAAAAGAATAAAAAATATGCTCAAATGCTCTTCCTTAATGAACTTAATTTTCTGATTTCTTTTTGCTTCCTTAATGAATGGAATTTTCAAAATAAAAATGTTTTTTAATAAAAGAATAAAAATTATGATGCTCTTCCTTAATGAACTTAATTGTCTGATTTCTTTTTACTTCCTTAATGAAATGCATATTTCATTGTGTGAAAGACTGGTTTATATTTGAAAATTGAAAGAAATTGCAATCAAAATAAACCCAATGCAAAGAAATTCCTTCTGTATGACTGGCTGACTGCTTGATGTCTAGCCCATAACAAATAGCTATGATATGTTGTAGGGTGAAATTGCTTTAAAGAGTTAAGGAAGAACAGGTGGTGTTGGCTAAGCTTAATATTAGGTTTAGGGGCTCAAGTTGTGATAGAAATTTTTATAGATCTTGATGAATGGGATTATGACTTATGGGAAGAGGTGCTTAATATTCATTTAGGGTCCTAATTAGGGTTTTGAGGCTGAGAGGGAGAAGTGGAGAGGCTAGATTGAGAGGTTACATGAGTTAATTCCATAATAGCAGCTTTAGAAAAATGAAATAGAATTAAGAATGTCAATGACTGTGTAGTCTGGATTCTTAGTTGGCATCATTCCCTTTGAGGATGTGAGGGTTCAAACTTGCAGAAAGGCATGCTTTCCTCGTTATGAATTCCAATATGCTTCATGTGCATCACTGCTACTCTAACTTGCTATGGCACATTGCCCCTATGGGGACCAAAGCTGCATTACTGGAAAAAAAAGAAGAAGAGTAAAGAAAAAATAGAACAGAAAAATAAGGAGATAAGTCTACTGGAATCAACAGTAGCAGATCCTTGAGTCAGATAAAACAAACAAATGATTGAGAAGCTCATTCAATAATTAGATCATTCTTTTGTCACTTATATCGAAGAGTGACTGCATTTTTATATGAAAATGTAATAGATAGATAGATAATTACATTTTTATATCGAAGAGTGATTGCATTTTTATATTGAGATCTAGCATACATCTACTTGAACATGCAGCTGAAATAATAAAATTATTTCCAATTAATGAACCCTTATAATCTCTTGAGGATCCACTGGAAAAAGTTGAGCTAGAAAGAAAATATAGATGTTTCAAAGAAAAAGAAATTTGATGGGGGAAAGACTTTCTAGAAATTTCATATATCCTATATGAGTTTAACAAACTCACTTGAATACTATTAGTTGGTCTTGCTAGCATAGCCTAAGCTCATGGGCCTTTGGCTCCTTTTAAGCTTGTAGGTCCACATGCTTGGGTTGGATTGTGGGTTAAAGGATGCCTGATCAGGTTCATAGAAAAATCTTTCCCTTCTTTGGCATTTAACCTTTTATTACTCTCAGGGTTAGTGAAAAATACCAAAAACTTACCAAATTATTAACTAGGTTGATCCATAAAAGCTTGAATGTTGGAAAATCTCAGAGGTTGACATGTTGGGTCAAGGTTTGCCACCATTAGTTTTGTCCCTGGAAATACACCATACATTTGGATTTTATGCTTTTAAAGGTTGCATAGTAGATACAGCTGAGCTATATTATCATCTTTGTCCAAGCATTATACCAAACATTTAGGATTGGAGGCTTTGGAGTGGAAGGGGGATAAGGAAGAAGTTCCATCTTGTTAATTGGGGGTGGGTATGCAGACCTAAGATAAATGCCAGCTTGGGGATTAGAAGGATTAAAGCTCTTAACAAACTACTACTTGCCAAGTTGCTGTGGAGGTTTTATTTAGAGAAGGAGAGAGTTGTAGGTGAGGGTAGTAGCAAGTAAATATGGGGTGTTAGTGAGAAGGTGGCAAATTTAAAAGGATTAAAGGTTTTGAAAGAATCTCCAATTTGAAAATAAATGTAGAAAAGAGTTACATAGCGGGTATCAACTTGGAGGATAGGGATGTTGAGGCTATTGCAGAGTCTCTCAAGTGTTCCATCTCTTCTTGGCCTATGTCCTATTTAGGGCTTCCGTTAGGGGAAAACCCTAGGGAGAGTAAGTTTTGGACTCTAATGTTAGAAAAATTTGAGAAGAGATTAGTATCGTGGAAGAAGAATTACATCTCTTTGGGTGGTATTATCACCTTGATAAGAGTTACATTGGTGAATTTACTTGTTTTCCATTTGTCTTTAGCATACCACCTAGGGAAGCAAAGAAGCTAGAGAAATTAATGAGAGATTTCTTTCGGGAGTCGAGACAAGGACAAAGGGATCATCTGGTTAAGTGGGAAAAGTAAAGAGGAGGGGGGGGGGTTGGGACTAGGGAAGGTGGTTCAAAAAAACTTAGCATTGTTGGAGAAATGTTTGTGGCATTGGCCATTGGAGAGAGAGAGAGAGAGAGACTTTGCCATGAAGTGGTGTGAATCATTCAAGGAAGTTCAAGGAATGGGTGGGATGCTGGTGTATTAAGGTAGGCTACTCTGGCAGCACCTTGAAAGGCCATTCACAATACCCTTTTGTAATTTCTTAGGGTTGTCAAGTATGAAGTTTGTTCTGGTAACTTTTTCCGCTTTTGGGAGGGTATTTGGGTGGGAGATAGCCCCTTAAAGGACCTTTTCCTTCGTTAGTCTTTGTTTCTTTGTATAAAAAAGAGGTAGTCTTAAAATTTCTTTCACCTTTGGGAACCCCTTGGCTCCAAATTGGGATTTTAGTTTTCGTAGGGGGTTAAGGGATGGTGAAATTAAATCTCTTTCTAATTTTCTATATGTCCTTAATTAGGTTTGTTTGGATCCTTCTAAGCCAAACAAAAGAGTGTGGGCTCCTAGGCCCAAAGGGACATTCTCTTGTGCTTCTTATTTTATGTCCCTTTGTCGGTCTTCTATTCAATGGGGTTTTCCTTTTAAAAGAAGTTTGGTGTAGGCCGGTTCCTCCAAGGATTATGGCTTTTTGTTGGGAAGTGTACTATGGGAAAGTAAACACTTTAGATAGCCTACAAAAGAGAATACCTTTCCTTTGTATTTCTCTTAATTGGTGTACTCTCTATAAAGCTCATGGGGAAGACTTTTACCATTTACTAATTTCTCATCCTTTCTTTATAGGGTTATGGATTTGGCTCCTTTAGTTGTTTGGGTGTAGGTGGAGCATGCCAGTTGAAGTATGCGTGATTTTTGACCATTCTACCTTCAATTGGCCTAAAAAAAGAGGGAGAATTATGTGGAGATGTGTTAGAGCAGCCTTGATTGGACTATTTGGGAAGAAAGGAATGCTAGAATCTTCCAAGAGAAGGAGAGGAGCAGTCAGGACTTGAAGGACTGTATGTTGAATAGGGCAATACATTGGTTAAAGACTTTGGATCTCTTCCATCAATTCTCCTTTAATGATTTATGGAGAAACTGGTCAGTAGTAGCAAGGTGCTCCTCCATTAAGAATAGGGCAGTTACAAGGTTGTTTCAGTTACAAGGTTCTCCTCCATTTAGAATTTTGATAGGAGCTGGGGTTCTGAGAAATGAGCTTGGATATGTTGTTCTTCTTTATTCGGGTCCCTTTGGATTTGGAGATCCTGTTAGGGTAGAACTATTAGCTGCCTTACAAGGTGTGCAATTTGCAAACCAACTAGGAGTAGAACAACTACTATTGAAGGGCATTCCAAGGTGGTGGTGGGCTGGTTGACGAACCCTGAGGATGCTGTGTGGTGCTATAAGAATGAAATTAAGAAATTCAAATGGCTAACAAGGAATATGTTTGTTTCTATACAGCGGGTGGGGGGATCATCAAATGCATTGGATGATATATTAGCCAGGCAAGTGGGTGCTATGAGACAAGAGGAGAGCAGCTGATTTGGTATCTTATTGTTAAGCACACTTGAACAGATAAAGGCATACATTCAAGAGGGAAATGAAAAGTGTTGGAAACTGGAAATATACAGAAATGATGTTTTCACTGTCAAGTCATACTATAAGGCAATCATAAACAATTAGATGGCAGTTCTAATATTAAGGATGTTTGGGGGAATCCAGTTCCCCCAAGGATGGAAAATTTTGCATGGTTGCTGGCTAGGGATAATATCTTAGCGTCAGATCATTTAAGGAGGGAATTTAAGATGGCAAGCATATCTTATTTGTATTAGAACAGTGAAAAGGATGTAAGTGCAAGACAGCATCAGTGTCATGATATTTCCTTTCATCATTATTTCTTGTATTTCTTTCTGCAAAGTAAAAAATGCCAAATGTTAGGTCTGTGTCCAGTCTACCCCTCCCAAGACCCCAGCTGGATAGTTGGGACCAACATCATGTAATTGATGGTAAAGGATTTTTTCTCGGCTAAGAGAGGTCTAAGGTAAGGTGATCTATCATCTCCTTTCCTTTTCACATTAGTGACAGGCTGATCATAGCTGATAGTAAGTAATATTATTAGTGTCATAGTTTTCAAGGCACCAAGGCGAAGCTAGGCGATAGGGGAGTGCCTAGGTGTTGCCTAGGAAATGACTTTTTTAAAATAAAAAATACAAATCCTAGGGTAGATCCCTAGGTTTCATAGTAATAAGTAGTGATCTTTAACTAATAATCACCATAATTCTCATAGAATAAGTATAAACCCCATATCAATAGATAGAAAGGGAACATTTTTATGAGTAGAAAAATAAGAAAGGAAAGAAACATACAAAACATAAGGGTTGAGCCCTTGTTTTGGTCTTAGGAAGAAGAAGAAGTCCTATTGATTGTTCTTGTGTATCAATTGGATAAAATCTTCAAGTTATTTTTTTACTTATCAATTTAGGCTTTATTCAAGACTATGTTACTGATTTGTGTCTCGGTTGAACCCAAACAAATAAGAAAATAACAAAAAGAAACTAGTATAAGAATAACAATATTAATACTATAAACCCACAATATGAATAATTTTTTCTAATAATATCTATTTTACTACTATTAATAGCATAAAATTAAAATATAAAATATTGTGTGGTGTCTTACATATAAATATGTAGGCATTTGAGCAAGGTGGCCCTCTAAGAAAGGCCTTATCGCCTAGGTGTCACATTGACAACTATGTTTGGTGATCTTCAATTTGTTTGGTTATTTTAAATCGTTCTGCCTTCTATTCCTAATATTTTCACAACATATTTCCGTTTCCATGGGTAGCAACACAAAATTTTATTGGAACCAACATATTTCCTAGTGAACATTACCAGCACTATGTGAAGTACAAGAGAGAGTTTCCACAGAACATTTCCATTTCCATGGGTAGTGACACAAAATTTTACTGGAATTGACATATTCCCCAATGAACACTATCAAAACTATGCAAAGTACAAGACATTGTATTATAACATAAATTGGTGAGAATTGAGAATATTATAGATATGTGGAGTAGCAATTTTGTTGCCTGCCTATCTTACGTGAGTTTAGATTTTGTTTTAACTCATTCTGCCATGTAGTTTTGAATCTTATGGTTTCAGGACAACTTCAGAGTGTATTCTTTTGTCTCTGACCTTAGTTTCTTAGCTTTGTTTAATGATTTAGTACAAGATAATAATTTAAAAAGGTGTGCCTATGCTTCTTTTATTATTTCATAAATTATCATTCTATATTTTTGCCTATCTTACAATGTTTCCACCATGTATATAAATATTTCTGACATTTCCGACATGTTTCCTATATTTGGACAACTGACATTTTCTCCGACACCAGCATTTTGAATTTTAATAACTTCTGATAATGTATTATCTGTATTTTTCTGTGCAGTTTGAATTCAAATTTTGACACCCAAAATGCAGGGCTTCAATTGCTTGGCCATTTTGACTAGAATTATAAGATCTAATATCACAGAAACCTTCATCCTTTGCAGTTTAACTTGATGACTGAATGGATAGAAAGCCGCACATTGCCATATTTACTACTGCGAGCCTCCCATGGATGACTGGAACTGCTGTTAACCCTTTATTTCGTGCTGCTTATCTTATGAAAGATGGGGGGAGAAATGTTTCTTTGGTAATTCCGTGGCTGTCTATGAAGGATCAAGCACTTGTTTATCCCAACAAGATTATGTTCAACACACCTTCAGAGCATGAAATCTTTGTACATAGGTGGCTTGAAGATAGGACTGGATTTATATCTGGTTTTAATATACATTTCTATCCCGCAAAGGTAAGTTATAACTGCAAATATTGTTGCTTTGGAACTTGATTTGGCATTAATTTATCTTATTGGCCACATGATTCATAGGAAGCAGGTATAAGAAATGAACATCTGGTTGGGAACTAAGGGTCTATTTGGCTCGCAGTCGGAATTGGAACCACAATCCCTTGGAATTGTAATCAGAATGATCTATTCCTCCTGCATGTTTGGTTCAGATAGGAATCGGAATCGGATTCGGCTGGAATGAATTCTCATTCCCAAGGGAGGGGAGGGAATGACCATTCCCTTAAATGGGGAAATGCCACTCCACCAGGAATGGGAATAGGATTCTGCTTCCATCCAACCAAATGGTTTGAATTGGAATAGATCATTCCAATTCCAATTCCAGACCCTATTCCAGTTGACCAAATGGACCGTATGAAGATTTGGACTACACAGCAAGCATGACTGTATACAGCTTTATTGAATCTACCTTCTTCAATTTTAATTTCCGACATATGAACACAAACCAGAGAGCTTATTTTTCAAGATGCAAATTTTCTAACAACATTTTATTGGATTTCAGTTTGATAAAGAGAAAAGGAGCATTCTAGCTGTTGGTGATATTACAAAAATCATTCCTGATGAAGAGGCAGATATTGCTATCCTGGAGGAGCCTGAGCATCTGACTTGGTATCATCATGGACGGAGATGGAAAACTAAATTCCGGCTAGTTATAGGGGTTATCCACACCAATTATTTGGAATATGTGAAGAGAGAGAAGAATGGAAAGTTGCAAGCATTTCTTTTAAAACACATTAATAAGTGGGTTATCAATATCTACTGTCACAAGGTACTTTTCTTTACATATCATAGTTTATGAAACTATCTGTGCTCTTGTGCTCTATTTAAGGGAGTCTATGGAGCAATTGAACTCCATGGTGGTTGGCCCTACTATAGCATTCTCATTCTATGCTAAAATGTTTATATTAAAGAAGTAAAGTTTGTATAAGATACATGGAAAATCTCAATTGTATTCTAGAAAAATAAGTCCTAAAAGAGAAAGCATAAACATTACCCCCCTTAAGGAATAATGCACCTGTTCCCCATGGCAATGCCATCAAAAGGGATGCTTGGTTCCTGTTACCATACATAACAAACTACCTACTCAAATGAAACAACTAAGATCAAAGCATAAGATAAGTTAGAAACATACTATTGGAATATTCAAATTGTATTATAAAGGGGTATTTAGGAAACAAAAGTATAAACAGGGAATTTAATGTAATATCTGCTCCATTGAGGTTTATTTTGTAAGTTGGATATTTATAGTGTTAATGTAAAGCATCTCACATTTTGAGAGAGATGGAATGAGATAAGCATATGGTTCAAAGCCCTATGTCATGGACCTAGATTCTCACTAGTGTCGCATGTGGCACTTGTGGTAGCACCTCTCTGCTCCACAAGTCGGCCTTCCCACTTGAGTACCCTTCATCTCTAGGAACAAGTCTGCACCTTACTTAACCCACACAGACCTAGGCAACTCCCAAGGCAAGTTAGAGACAAGAGGACATGAAGGCAATTGGAAAGGAAACTCTTATAGTACTCAAGTAAGGGATACAACTCTTTGAACACTTCTTGGATACAACTGTGGTGGTCTTTCAAATGAGAGGACTCCTTATATAATCTACATATCCTACAATGAATGGCTAGGATCATTACAAGTGTCATACCTCTAATTGGTGATTCTTCTAGATATTTTCTAGAATACTCTAGAAGGAAGCTCTAGAACAGCTCTAGAATCGTGTGCAAGTGTCTAAAAGTTTCATGAATCTTCCAGAATGCTCTGGAAATCTCTTGAAGTTTCCTGGGGTTTCTGGAACACTTCTAGAACTTTCCATTAAAGCTCTTCGATCTGCCCTTCTTTGGTCAGGGTCCATGTTACACACCTAAGGCAATGCCATGCCATGAAACCTAGCTCTCTCTTTCTCTCTTTTAGTTGTCTCCCATCTCTCCTCTATTCACTCATATCACTCACAACAACATGGCATCAGAGCCAAATTGACTGATGAAAATGATGAAATGATGATGACTCTTGGTTTGTTTAAGTTCAGATGTTTTTCGATAAGTCCTATTTTATGTCGACTCTGGAATGTCTATCTCTTTCCTTTCTTCTATAGTTATTGTTTTGTTCTTGTTACCTTTCTGTGTTGTTGGGTGTCTACTTGTTTTGATCTTGTTTTTCTATACTTCTCTGTTATAGTTTAGATTTGTTAGTTCTCAATACATTGGTTCTTATTTTTGTCATTAGTTTGTGTTAGGAAAAATTGATTTGTCTTGTATGTTATCCCTTATTTTTGTTCCTGATATTAAATTTGTCAGACTCTCAGAGGGCAGCCACTTTGTGCAAAAAAGGAAAAAGCCAAAGGTTAGGGCTGCACCTAGTCTACCCCTCCCAAGACCCCAGATAACTGGGACCAACATTAGGTAATGGCCTTTTATACTGAAATTGATTTAATATCCTATTGGCTGTATTCTTCCCTTCATTTGAGTAAAGTTGTTTCCCTTTTCTATAACCAACCTGTCTTGTATTTGAAAGGGGAGTTGAAAGTAACTGCTTCTATTTCCTCCAAGTGGAGAGAATGGGGTACTAGTTCATTTTTTGGTATGTTTTAAGTGGTTGTTTGAATGAGCATGTATCTCCTTTGGCGTGCCAATTTGTGTTTTGGAAGATTTTGGCTAAATTGAGAGGGTGGGATTTTAGATTTGAAGGTTTTAATGGACAAAGTGAGTAGTTCTTTGGCTGTGTGTGTAAGTGTTTGCCCAAGAATTGTATATATATATATATATACTCACTGGAGTTGAGATTGATTAGGTGGAATCCATTAGTTGCCGATGTTTCATGCTGTTGGTAATGTTTGTGTGTGTAGAGAACATTGATGTGGGCCCCACAGCTGTGGTCCCACTCTGTCCATAGGGTAGAATGTATCTAGTCACAGCTGTGGTTATTTTGCTGTTCTGTTATTTCTAGTTTCAGTTTTATATTGGTTGTTATTTGTTAGCAGTTATGATGTAAACACCATGGGCAGATATGTCTTTTCATGTAACTAGCATAACCTATATATATTAACTTAAAGTAGCGGCGGCAGAATATTGAYATTCTGTTCTTCTCCTCAAAATCTGTGTTCTATTGCTCTTCCATCACTCTTTCTTCTACATCTTCTTCACTTTCTCTTCTCATCGAGCCTGAAATCTCTTAGTGATCAAGACTGAATAGCAGTCTTGAAAACCTACAGTGTGAGGTTTAGGAAAGTTGATCCATTCTGTTGGAGAAATCTGTTGATGGCATGCTTGTTGATTGGAGTGGATAAGGTACATTTGGTCCTGTTCTCCCTGGCTTTGAGCTTTTCTGAGTGGTATGATTTAAGGGTAGTTGTTGAAGGTTTCTACCCTCTGACATGGTTAGGAGATTTTGTGTCATAGGAGATCAGAGCTGGGAGATGAACAATCATGTTTTTTTTTGGAAGGGAGATGAAAGGTCAGGTTGAGGTAGATGGTTCAAAGGTTGAAGATGAGTGTAATTTTGGAATTAACTTTTTCAAAGATGCTGAGGTTGGCAGGTGTGGAGATGAACATGTGGGAAGCTCTTTTAATGCTATGAAGCTGAAGGGTTGCGAGTTGGGTGAGTTTTTGATGAAAGTGGGGTTAATCCGGTTTGGTCCAGGAATTTGGTTGGGACTGAGTTGGGTCATTTTCTTTGGAGCCCATTGAACAGGGAGCAGAATGCTAGAGGCTGTTTAAAAGGAGAGGTGGAGCGGCAACTACCAGTGGTCAAGGTGATTTGCAGGGCTGAGCTTGAGAATGAGAGGAAGGCTTCAATGGCAGTTTTAAGTGACACTTTGACGAGGTTGTGAAGGTTGAGTGGGTGTGAGTGATTACGAAATATGCAGTGAAGAAGGCGCTGAAGACTTGTTTATCTTTGAAGAGAAAAAGTTTTGCGGTCCCTAAAGTAAGGTTTCTCAAAAGGTAAAGTTTGTTGATAGCAAGCGTAAGGTTTGGAAGCTTGGTGGTGGTTCTTCAACCAAGATTGCAGATAGAAAGAAGAGCCTGTTGATTAGGGTTGGGGAAACCCTTAGTTCTATTGTTGAGACTTTAATTTGGCTTTTCAAGAGATGTCCAGTGGCGCAACAAAGGTTGGCAGTGTTGGACTTGTGGGGCCTGGGGAGGATACAGTTGGGTTGAAGCTTTTGGTAGTGGAGGAAAGTGTGAAGGCCAACCATGATGTTGATATTGAGTTTGACCTTGTCATGACTGAGATTGATGGTATTAATTATGTGGGGGCACCTATTTTGGGGTTGAGGTAAAACTTTCTGAACGTTTTGATGGGGATGGTAGTGTAGAGTGTGAGCCTAAGGAATTTGAGTTGAGGGTGGAGGATTGGGATGAAGGGGAGACTAGTTTTGTTCTGCAGAAGAGGGATGATCTCGTTTCAGCTGAAGTCCTGGGGGGGGGG